TCAACGGAGGCACTACACATTGAAATAGAATACCACAGAAAAAGAATGTCTATATTAGGATTATATCGAGCACCTCAGGGTAATGTAAACACATTTTTAGATGATATCAATAAATGGCTAAACGACAACAAAGACACAGACTTAATAATTGTAGGGGATATTAATCTTGACATCACAAAACCTAGTTTAATGATAAATAATTACCTAGATGATATGGCACAAGGGGGACTGGAATCAATGATATATGAATTCACAAGAGAAGAGATATTAGGCGAGAAACTAACACAGTCATGTATAGATCATATACACGTGCGGTCGAAGGAAGGGAAACCCGAAGGACAAGTAATTTCTGAAAAAGTGGCTGACCATTATTTTGTGGCAGTAACTATTCCAGATCTTAATCAACACAGTAATAAAATTGTTGAAGGCTCATTTATAAATAATAAAATAGTCGATAAACATATCCAAGAAATCGACTGGAACATTCTCGCCGAAGAACAAAACCCAGAAAAATTATACGATAATATTGTTAAAATATTCAATGATATTTATACAAAGTCAACTCAAAGATGCAGTACGAAAAAACGTAAACAACAGAATCAATGGATAACTGAAGAAATTGACGACCTGATCAAAGAAAAAAAGAAAGCTTGGCAACTACTGAAAAGATTTCCTAATAATAAGAAGTACAAAGAAAATAACAGAATAATTAGGAATAAAGTTACAGCATTAATAAGATTAACAAAAAGAAATTATTACTGGAACAAATTGTCTGAGACAAAAGATACAGCAGAATGCTGGTCCTTGGTAAACCAACTGTTACAACGAAAAAAGAAAAAAACGATTGAAGACACTATTCAAACAAACTTCGGTCCTAAACATGACTTAGGGATACTAGCAAATAGTTTTAATACAGAATATGTGCAGTCAATTGAAACTTTATGTTGTACGACAACGGAAAGACAACCAAATCAAATAAGAAATAATGATTCAATATTTTTCCCCGATATGGATGACAATGATCTAATTGAAATTGTAAAGCAATTAAAGACTAATAAGGCAACAGGGTTTGATCAAATTAGGGCTAGAGATATTAAATACCATATCACTATAATGAAACCTGTCCTATTACAGTTGTACAATCGTATATTTTCTAGCGGCATCATTCCAAAAAAGCTTAAAACATCCGTTGTTCGGCCTATATACAAGAAAGGTGAGAAAAATAAATTCCTAAATTATAGACCAGTTTGTATCCTTTCTGTGATAAACTATATAATGGAAAAATATATTAATAAAGTTCTTAGGTGCTATATCGCTAAATATAACCTACTAACTAACACACAATATGGATTCAGGGAACATATAGGAACCAGTGACCTTCTAGAAGACTTTTTTGACTATGTAAATGAAAACATCGACGCTGGTAATTATGTTCTAGCCTTATTCATAGATTTTACGAGGGCCTTCGAAACAATCAATCATGATATATTAATGGATAAACTATATAGTATTGGAATTCGAGGGAAAACATATGATTTATTTCGGAATTATCTTGCTGATCGATTTCCGGTAGTACGTTTAGGTTCAAAATATAGCAAGGAAATTAAGGTAAAACAAGGAGTACCACAAGGTACAGTCCTCGGTCCACTACTCTTTAATATATATGTTAACGAGATAGCACAGGTTAGCTTAAAAAGTAAGCTCCTTCAATTTGCAGATGACACGGTAATTGTATACGCACATAGAAATTACGAAGTAGCGGCAATGACTATACAAGATGATATACATAAAATTATTCAATGGTACCGTAAAAACCAAATAATTGTAAATGTTCCTAAAACGCAAGTAATATGCTTTAGAGATCCAAGAAAAAAAATCGTAAATGAATTTCCAATAAAAATGCATGATGAGAACTGCGACAACTGCTCGTGCATCCCGCTAAAATACGCTGATAATGTAAAATACCTGGGTATGCACATAGACAAATATGTTAAATGGGATATTCACATAGACCAGGTTTGCAAAAAATTAAGGGTATTAATGGCCCATATGTACCACATCCAAGAACTAGTACCGCGATCCATACTTAAAATGATATACAATTCACTGGGTAAATCCGTACTTCAGTATGGAATAACAGTTTACGGGCACTGTACCAAGTATTTACAACTAAAGATAGAATCTATTCAAAAAAGGATAGTTAGGAATATTGGGTACCGGCGCGAAGAAACAAATCTCTCAGATTATATGCATAAAGAATTAGGAATATTACGTTTCAGAGATCAAATGAAGTATGACATTATAATAAAGCATTTTTTCAACAATAAATATAGGCGCGAAAATAAAAAAGAAAGGGCATTAAGACCTAATAAAAAATTTGTTGAACCATTTGTAAGAACAAGATATGGAGAGGCCACAAGGAAATATTACATACCTAAGCTTTATAATACATTACCCGATGAGCTACTTGAAATAAAATCCCCTAGAATAAAAAAAATAGCAAAAAAGTGGATAATTGAACAGGGAAAAAAAGATTCTTAAAAGGTAATAGGTATAACCGATGAGTATCCCCGAAAACGCAGGATATAAAAGGTTGTTATTGTGTTCTATTATTAGAATTGTCTCGTAAGTCGTGAATTCTATTCTTCTTTACAGTATGTAAATGTTAATTCAATATGATTCGATGGGTTTACACATGTACTCATCAAAGTAGGCGAACTAATATAAGCTGTAGAAGGAGGTGGAACTGCAGTAATAGGTACTAATATTGGTATGTTTTGTTATTTTTAGTTATGTGTGCAATAAAAATGCAGAGGCTCCTGTCGCGTCCCACACACAAGCCATCATTGGCTTACGTGGGCTTTATATTGTATTATTTGCAAACAAAGTAAATAAAGATGGTTTTTGTATTGTATTGTATTGTATTTTTTTCTTTTTTTTTGGTCGACCGTCTTCATTCTTTGTCGGAGAGAAAAAAAGTATGGTAGATCATCCCTTTTGAGCCAAGACTGTCTTGCAAAGGTCATTGTGTGGAGTGATGGTTCGCAGGTACAACCTTGGCTGTGTGTCACGGTTCAAATATTTTTTTTTTTGTGTGTTTGACCTTTTTAGGTAGGGGTTCAGAAGCTTTTCGTCCGAACCAAATGCATCAATATGTGTGTGTCGTGGTTCAAAAGCATCGCATTTTTTGTGACTTCAATCAGTACAGAATGTTTTTCGTCTGATCCGAAAGGTGGCTGTGCTTTGTATGTGCTGTTATATAGTTTGTTTAGCGATGCGGTTGAGGGTTGTGCGCGCGACTTTGAAAACAGGATGATCTGTGGTTCTATGGCGGTTGCACTTCTGTACGTAAGGCGGGTCGGCGGAGAAAAGCGCACCGCCAAATTGTCCGATGCGGAGAAAGGCTCGCAGGCTTTTTTAAGGATGCGGAGAAAGGCTCACCCGCGATTCCAAGAATTGAGCGTTATCCCAAGTGAATTACGTTCACTTAACTGAAGGATGCTCGGATACCTTACGCGCAATCAGGTATTCTACACTTCACATGTAGCATTTATTTTTAAACTGTAAAAACATAATGTAAAAACGTCGGGCTTAATAATAAAAATGTAATAAGACGTTAATTAAAATAATAAAAGAACGGTGGAAATATAGCAAGGCAGAGGGCTGCAGCTCGAGTAGTTTCTGAATGTTTATTTATGCCATTGGCATATACCGTTCAAGTGTCATTTGATGCTTTCAGTATGTACATATGTTCTTCACTTAAATGAAAGAATCATCGCACGATAGCGATTTATATCGAACTAAACTCGAAAAAAAGCAGTGGTCTTCGCAGCAGATCAATGAGTTGAGCTTCATTTCTACGATTGACTTCGTTCTTGATTACGTCCGATATTGTTTTAACTAAATCAGAGCGCGAGAGATAAAGAAATACTGGGAAAGTAATGTCGTATTAAAAAAAAATCAAATCTCGAAAAAGAATCTAATAGAGCTTTTCACTAGAAAAAAACACACAAAACTCTAAGCGGTTATTGTTCTAGTATGGCGGTGTTTTCATAAAAAATAGTTGCCAAATTGCAGCAAATGTTTTTTTTTTTCCGCATTGTTTTCACTAATCAGAAGAATTAATAAAACAATCTGCCATGTCTAGAAAATGCATATAATGATAAATTCTCTACGCTTTTTAGATACGCAGCGTATCTTAAATCAAATTAAGCCGACTTAAATGGAATGAACTACTTAAATTAGAGAAAAATAATCGTTAACCCTATTTCGTTTTTCTATTTCGACTTAAGCAGAGCAACCTGATGTGAAGTGTGACACTGTGTGACACTGTCAACATAAACCAGGGATGTCTTTTTTTTTCTTGCATGTTCGTATTTTTTTATAAAAACTACTACTGCGCCGAACATTACTCTTTCGGGACTTAAATTTATGCGATAAATGCTTGGCTCTTCTTTAAGTAAAATGCGGAAACATTGCCACGCACAGTGTTGCATAGTGTACCGCCTACATGAGAGCACCTAAAACATCGGGGGCACTACTAATGGTAACGACCACTTTAAATAAAAATTTAATTTGAAGTGTACTTTTCTCCGGGTCTGTCAAAAGACTCGTGAGATTTTCTCCGAACTCGCACAAAAGTAGGCGAGCTTTTCTCCGGTGAGCTTTCCTCGGGGCTTCGGAAGGAGGGTGAATGAATAAAAGTATGAGCTGAATTAGAGACGTTGTTTTTCCCTGTTAATTTCACTTAAAATCTAAAAATATTACTCAGTTAGCCCCCGTCCCTGGTTGAAATCATCATAGTCAAACGCACTATAGAAAAAAGTGCAAACGCTGTGGACATAATGATACCCATATTGGGCTATATTGCCTATATAACCTTCATTCGTGTGTCGGTCGTGAGTAATATGTCGCTTTACTCACGCAACTAAGCCGTATGCTAACCCACTTTGCTTTAGAACTACGTCCTTTGTCCGGTAAGGGTGCGTTCAAGCACGCACCTGCATTTCGGCGATGGGGAAGACGGCGCCGAGGGGCTGCACCAGTCCGATGACAGCCAGGGTCGGGTGCTTTAGGCCCGGCGGGAACACGTACTTGTAGAGTTGGACCTCGTTGTCCACCACGGCCGGCATCACGTCCTCGGAGAGCTTGGGGAACTTGAACTGGTAGCCCGTGGCCAGGATCACGTCGTCCAACTTCGTCACCTGCATGGGTACGGGGTGCTTATCGGTTTATAGCCAGCCGGCAACAGCCAGGAGGCGCCAGCGGAGTGAGAGCCCACGGTTATATCCTGTCTCGCTGTAACTTGGCAAAGAGTGAACACTAAGCCACACATTGTGTGCCAACAGCTTCGATATGCGCGACGTATAAGAACGCAACGCACACATGTTGGAGCATGACGCAGCGAAAACCCTGACACTTCCTCGAAGTAAAAGCTCAATCCGGTGATACGTAGTCACGTTTCGATTGGCCCGCCAGGGCCGTAGCTTCCACCATATACTGTCATGCTATACGACCACGGCTTTCTGGCCTACCCAGTATTTCTTGCTTCAGACACTAGACTAAGCAACGACACCATAGTAATAGCTCACGTTTGAACAATGCAGCTGCCACTCCCAGGCATACCCAATGTTTCTTGCTCCAGTCGCTAGATAGCGCAACACCAAACATCATCGCAGGGTGCCTATAGCGTTCCGAGAGATCGTCACGCTGATTGAAAACAGGTCAGCGTGTGCAAATATCAGGTGTGGGCACAGCACGTACGCAAAGAACAGATACCGGTGAGATGAAACGGATCCGTATGGGGCGCGCCGACAACAGCGCCACCGCTGCAAGGCGAAGCGCTTTCAACTGCTAGTTGGTTTATGATGACAATATTAATAATGATAATACTAATAATAATAGTAATAATAATAATTGACGTGAGCCTGATAATGAAAGACGACGACGACGATCTGGACAGGCGGGGAAAAGAAAGAAGTAAGATAGAATACACGGGTCTGATTAGCATCCCCAGTGTGGCAATAATTTGTAGACCACCACACATTTAACAGGTTCAGCAAAATGTGGATAACATTCAACATACATCCAAGTTCTACTAAAAAAATTGTATTTTCGAGTTACATGTTCAAGATAATGTCCCGACAGATCTTTCTCAGCATATCAGTACACCACAGTTGGTCGAGGTAGTCACACAGAGGGCACAGAAGTCAACCGCGGAACTTCTCAGCGCGAGATACGTGAAGGGAAACCTTCAACTGTCAGTTTTAGAAGAAATGGTACTGCAACCATGTCGGAATTTATCGGAAGAGACGTCGATCTCTACCTCGAGTACGGCAATGATGCTACAAGACCTGCAGCTACAGCAACAGCAGATAACACAGCGAAATGAGCCGATGCAGGCCAACGTATCTTTCATGACAGAAAAGGAGAAACCTAGATTCGCAACAGTGAAACCAGACATGTTTGACGAATATTCATAGAGTCCGAAAGTATGGATTGAGTTCTATGAGTATGCTCGTTAGAAGAACTCCAGAAACTAGGAGCAGGACCTCATCAAGAACATGCGCCTTTTCCTTTCTTTTTCTACGGCCGTCGCAAAGAATTTGGTTTGAGCTTCGCCTAGTGGACCACCCGAAAGCAAGCTGGAACGATTGGAAGGCAAGTTTTCTCGCCAGTTTTAAGAGGAATCCCGTAGACAGATCGGATCAAGCTGTCTTCCACAAGTACAAGACAGGTATGATCCTAAAATATTTTTTTGAGACGAGAAAGCTCCTTCAACTTTGCCGAACCCAACTTGCCATAGTCGAAAATGTATCATTGATACTTCATAGACTTACACGTAAACCACCCCCCCCCCCCCCCAAAAAAAAAAAAAAGTCAAATACATGCTCGAAATCTCATGTCCGTGGAAGACTTGCTTCAGAGCGTGCAAGACATCACTATCTCCACTAACCCCATCGACAGAAGTTTTCTTCCTCGAGCTGTCGCGCCAATGACACCAAATTCCAGCCATGCCATAGATAAAAATCTTCATCATAACGCTGTAACTCGGGGTACAATACCAAATGATATGCGTCAGCAAGGCGTCCGTGGGAACGGCCAAGTTACAACTTTAGTCAGAACCAGGCGGTCCGCTTTACGGATGCCGCGGAGCAGCCGGGAGGTTCAGTACAAGCAACAAAAACGAATAAATGAGAGTGGGCAATCTCACCCGAAGATGCCAAATGAGACAGTGTACTTATCTTCGAGCCTTTTACAGATCACCGTTAATATTGATGGGCGTAAGACACGTGTCCTTCTTGATAGCGGCACCTCGATATAGATCGTAAAAAAGACAAAAACAGACGTATTGAAGACCTACTTAGGAAAAACAAGTCAAGTAAAAAGTTATAACGGTAAAAAAAAACCTTCATGAGGAATGAACAACTGTCACTTTTAACTTAGATGGTCAAAGTATTGAAGTTGTTGCTCTGGTGATTGGTTGAATGGATTATGACTTCCTACTCTCACGGCCAGGCATAAAATGGCTAAAATATAAACATCTACTGGGAGGATAAAGTCAATCGAAAAGACGGCTGACCGCAGACTTTTGGCCAGCAATCCCCCAGGTACTTCGCCGCCGAAGCTTTTTACTGCAGCTGAAGAAATGTGTGAGTTATACGCTGAATGGTTCAGCATTGGCAGCTGCACACCAGCTACTCCGAATTCACGGTGTCCGTCAGCGTCAGTGACAAGAAAGTGGTCCGTAAAAATTCCCTATAACATGACCAAAGACATCATCAGGCCTCCGGTGTCTCCGTTTGCGTCTCCAATTACCACTGCACCCAGGGAGGACGGGATTTTCAGGCTGTGCACGAGCTACCGTGCTTTTAACAAGCAGACTGATCTAATCCCTTTCCCAATGCCACGAATCGCAGCCATCATAGATAAAACAAGAGGTTGCCGATACTTTTCGCGGATTGACCTGTGCAAGGAAACCAAGATGTATACAGCGATCACAATACCCTTTGACCTGTATGAGTATAACGGCCTCCCATGTGGCTGGAAGACTTCCCCTGAGTGGTTTCAGAAGATAATGAACCAGTTCCTGAATTCGCACTTGGGGAATTGTTTTCAGCGTGTAAATCGACGACATCGTTGTCTACTCAAAAAAGAAATGTAAAACACCGGCAACACTTATTACAAGTGTTGCCACGACTTAGTTCCGCAAAACTGAAGGTTAAATTCAAAAAGAGCAAGTTCTTCAAGACCCAGGTAGTGTTTTTCGGTAAAGCTTTTAAAGGTTCTACAGAAAACACAAAAGAAGAGTCTGTGGCAAGAATATTTCAACTTGTTAAGCCGTCTAACGCACACTCTCACCGAGTGTTCCTCGGTCTGGCAGGACACTTCAGAGCATTTACTAAAGTTCGCTCTGAAGACAAAATGCCTCACTAGGCTAACGGAGAAGTATGTGATCTTCGATTGGACAGAAGTGTGTGAGGGTGCGCGCCGAGGTATGGTTCAGGTTATCTCCTCAGTCCCCATTTTATTTTTACCAGATATTACACTCCCAATCGAGCCAAACACAGGTCTTTTCGAGATCTTAACAGATCTCAAAAAGCACTTAATATATAGCATATCTATTAAACATGTGTAGGCAGCGCCCTCCAGAAGTTTTAAAAAGTTTCGAAATTTAAATTTTTTGGAGAAGTGAGACTTACTTTGGATGTTTTCTAAGAGGCCTGACATACCCTCTAAGAATCTCTGAAGGGTGTGAGAAGACCGTCATAATTGTTTTTGCAGATGGCCGTCGTGTCTTTGAAAATCTTTTCTTAAAGGGCACTGAAACCTTCAAATATTTTCAACAGGTCTGCGGACCCTATTGAAAATTCCATCAAGCTACGTAATTTGGGACACTGACTGCCAGTCAGCAGCGTTGGTGGAACGTGATGGACCATCAGACGTCATCTGATGGTCCATCAGATGACGTCTGACTGCCGCTGCCAAGGGAATTTCATCAACAAGGGCAGCATTTATATAAGAGTAAAGCTATACGCACTCATAAATATCGCCAAATGCCTCGATAAAACAAAATGTTCGAGAAAAAAAAAAAAAGAGCACCACCACCGCGCATCGAACCCGCGACCACATGCGTACAGATCGGACACCTTAACCGCTATGCTACACAACCGTTAGAGAAACTCGATTTGACTATCCGTTTTATACTAAATGCTTTGGCTGCAAATGCAGTTAAGCCGTCAGCATGTTATGCAAAGCACTCGTACATCACTCGCCGTACTTCAGTTCTACTCACTTGCCATGTAGAGTACTTTCGCGTCGTAGAACGATCCTTTTGTTCGCGCATCACCGGCCCACTAGACCTGGTACACCCTGTCGTCTTCAACTACACCGCTAAAGTCCCTTACATCGTCGGAACTCACAACAGGCTGGGTCTTGTCGAGTAGAAATTCTACTAAAACATAAGACATTGTATATCCCGGGCGGGATCGACAGGTTGGAGCGAGCGGGCAAACAAAACGAGTCGAGACCGATCGTTCATGAAAGCTCGGCGAAGCGTCTATGGGCGAAGCGAAGTGCGAAGTGTCGTGTTCGGCGCTTCGGCGGGCTTCTGATCAAGGTTGTCGGTCGGTTGCGTGTCATATCTCTAACGTAAGCGGTTTTATGGGCTCACGTCCCAAAATCGTTTTCTCGTGCATAGATTACTTTTCGTATTCATAGATTTGAGGAAATGGTGGTATCCGAACGAACTTTACGTCCTTTGACCGTACGTCTGTCTGCACGTCAAAGCTTTCTGACGTACAGTCAGAGACAATCGATGTACAGTCAGAATCACCACCAAGACATCCTGATGGCATTTCGCGACGGCCGACTGCCACCAGGAAACCATCAGAAAGCCGACAAGCGGGGTCTGACTGGAGTTTGACTGTCGGTCAGAGTAACTTGTTGGCCAATCAGACATGCTTGACGTACAGTCAGGCACAGTCAGCGGTCCACTAGAAAACATTGAGTGCCAAACAGGGTTACATTGATGGATTTTTCCTTCAGGGAAGATCACGTGACCCTTTAGGATATATCCGTCGGGGAAGCTATTTGGTCATTTTGTATCGGGTGGCAGCAAGGAGCTGTCGCTAAAATGTCGTCATCCCGAACCAACACACTTAGATATATCTCATAAAACAGTTCAGTGTGCGGATAAAATAGT